TGAACAGAGATTTGGTCTCCAGAGACACCTCCCACAATGATGCTTTTCATTTTCAGTCCAGGTAGCTGATTTCCAATTTGCACAGTACTCTGTTGAGGAAAAGGACAGTCAACAAGAAGCACTATCATCCTCTGTGATACATACAGCCTACTTTCTGTAGTGATGGAGTCAAGCAGTAGCTGCCTGTAGATTGCAGAAAAAATATCAAGGTAGTGAGGAGCAAGACATCTAAATGTGGCTTTTTACAGACTTATTCACAAGATACCTTATCATTAAGTTTAATAAATTAATATAACTTAATTAGGCACATATCACTGCAGAATATGGCTCACAGCACAAGTATTTGTCCACAATCATTTATCCTACCTTCTCCTAAAAACATTTCTGTAGTGTTTAGTGGCAAAGTTATGATGCTGCCTTACCTGGTACATTCCATAGTCCAAGGACATGACAGCGAGGTACTTGATGTCTTTACCATCTTTAGCACTCTTCAGCTCTATTAATAAATGATGCCATTCCCCATCACTGACTCGTGACTGGCTCATCTTCAAACTAGCAACCTGGATCAGGCCACTGTACACTTCAAACTGCACATAGTTGTTCAGTATCTTTAAAAAAAAAAAGTATATTTTTTGTTACATATTTGTATTTGATGCAGAAGGGGGCAGGGGGCAAGATAATAATGTTTCCTAAGACAATCCAAAAGGGAAATAAGCCCAAATAGTAAAGAAGAGAACACCTGCAATAACTCCTTGTATAACTTTGGACATTCAGACTCTACCTTACCTTATTGACGACAAAAATCCCAAACCAATCAAGACACAATTTTTGCACCTATGTTAATGCACACTTTGCCTCTGTTTAAAAAATTATCTTAAACCAAAGAATCTGAATTTTAAAATTATCTTCTGATCTTTGTAAAAGGCTGAAGAAATAATTTGTGTTTATCAGTGTGTGCTTAGCTGAGTGGACGAAGCTATGTAGTTCATGTAGCCATATCCGCTGATGGGGCAGAAGTCCTTAATTCTTTTCTAACCAAAGGCAGCCACGTTTTTACCTGGATGTTGATCTTGGATGCAGCCCCAGCATTGGCTTGCATTAACATGCCATTGACTTTTCGGGTTCTGAACATCAGCCCAATGTACCATGGCACAGAGATGGTAATGTCAAGGTCACTCCAAATGATAATGCTTTCACCACTGAAACGCTGAGGAGAAGGCATTGCTGGAAATCAAAAGACAGGAGAGAAACGGTTTATATCCTTCAGGACAAAAGACAAGAGGAGAAATGACGCTATATTGTGGTGATAGCGCAAGGTAGCTAGTTCCTTTTCCATTGAGCTATTTGTAATCTACTCTGGAGTAAGCGCAAGTCTTGGGGGGTTACTATGAAACAGATGATAATACTGTTGACTCACAACCTACCCTTGTTGTGCAGTAGGCACCTTGTCTCAGTGCCTGCACTCAAAGGCAGCACCTCCACACTGCTGTGGCATTACACAGCCAAGAGATGTTCCTAGAAAGGTTAGCTCAGGATCTTTACTGATACAGGTCTGCTGATGAGTGGGTGGACAGAGCAGGAAGTATGAGGCCAACAGTTGCTGCAGATGTTTTCAACATATCCTTGATTACCTGCTACTAATTAACAGATTAAACACAGAAGAAAAGGCTGGGAGGCAACAGGAACTATTAATTAATTATAAATACTCCAGGGCCAGTTTATTCAGCTGTCTCAGCTACACAGCCTTTTTTCACAGGGAAAAAGCTTGTGTGGAATTGCCTAGATCATCTGCCTTAAATATCTTGAGGTGACATCTGAAGAGTTGCCCTCCTCTCTAAACTTGCATGAACACAGCTCCTACAGAGAGACGCCAATGTCAGCCTTCAATAGAAAGCACTTTGCTGATGGAAAACAGGGCAACATCCACCCTTTGGACTTCTAAAGTAGTTACCTACTAAAGTAGCAGTAGTAGTTAATGTCTATAAACTGGAAGAGGGTAGATTTAGATTAGGTATTAGGAAGAAATTCTTCATTGTGAGGGTGGTCAGACACTGGAACAGGTTGCTCAGAGAAGTTATGAATACTCTTCCCCTGGAAGTGGTTTAAGGCCAGGCTGGATGAGGCTTTGAGCAACCTGGTCTAGTGGAAAGTGTCTCTGCTTATGGCAGGGAAGTTGGAACTAGATGATCTTTAAGGTCCCTTCCAACCCAAACCATTCTATGAATCTACCTCAGGTAACAGGAGCTACGATATCATGTGTTAGTTGATCCCACTGATTAGAAGGACACATTAAGCTGTGGGAACTCTGTGCTATTTGTAGCATGTCATACAGCACTTCCACCTTGCATGGCACCTTGTAGTGGGATCTGCATGTCCTCACTCATGGGCACGCTGGTGAAGTTCATGAGACTGGGCACAACCACCACAGATTGGCACCCTGCCTTGTATGTTGTCACGCACTGAGCCCATGTGGATGGTCAGTGAGATGACAGAGCTTAACAGCTTCCTTCTCCTGCTCCACACCACCATATCTGCTGACTCTTCTGGATTTTCTTGCAGTAGGAGAGAGAGACTGTGTATATACAAATGCGTATGTGTCACTATAAAATGGCAAGTGCTGAGAGAATGGTGGAAGGGTGACATCATAGCAAAAGATGGAATCAGGTTGACATGAAGTTGCATTTTTTGGAGGAAAAAAACCAGCCCTCAAATTCTGATATATCTGCCTCGCTGGTCCCTCTAAAGGGAAAGGGTTGGAGGAAAGTATAAGCCCTTCAGCACCCTATTTGCGGGAAACAAGATGTCAGTGACTAGTGGACTTATCATCACCAGCCAAGCCAGAGGTGTAACTTGACTTGCCCTTCTCTAAGTGGTGGTTACCCAACCACCTCACCCCAAGGTCAGTGCAGGCAGCCCCAAAGGGTAACCATTCTCCCTCCTGTCCCAGGCTGTGATCTCCCCTTTGCAGACATGCTCAGTCCCCCATGAATGCTAGTGGGGGCATATGGTGGAACAACTGAAGCTTAGCCTGCTCTTGAAATCCAGACAGCAATTTAAAATGGTCTGCCACCAGACACAGACATCCCCAGCTTGCTTAAAACTTGAATCCAGTGCTCAAGCTCTGGCTGTCTGGGCCAGGGCATGATCCATCAGCCTGCACTGCTCCACATCAATGTAAAAGCAACCAGGACAGCGGTGTAGTGCAGGATAATTTCCTCCTTCTGCTCCACAAGTGCAAAAGTCAGCCCTCTGCTTCCTCTGACCTTCACAATGACCTCAACTTCTTTGCTAGTGGTTTTCTAGATTGTTGCTGAGATTGTTAAGTCCTCCTGCCTCTGGAGAGGCCTTGCCGGCTTCCCACCTGCTGGAGGCTGGGAATGCTGTGTGCAAGCATTTTGTCTCAGCTCCTGGGAGAACTGGACTGGCATGGCAATTAGCCACCTTCTTCCTTTTCTCACTGGTGGTGACTTTCCATGCTTGCAAATACCATTCCCTTCCCACACCTCCTCCCAACTCCCATCCCTTCCCTGGGGCCAGGGTGCACCTTTCCCTGCTAGTAAAACAGAAGTCCCCATCCGTCAGCCCCCTCTGACCTCCCTCCTCCCACCTGCCATTCCCGTGCCTGGGACCAGGGTTCTCCATGGAGGGGCTGGTGGCCACATCCAATGTACCCAGATGGGACCTAACTACCCCCTGCCACCACACAGGTGCACACTCGTGCTCCCAAGCACAGCACCTCCCTGTCTGACAGTGATGTAAACTAATTGTTTTCTCAAGGTTTGTCACTTTGTACCTAGACACACTTTTAAGACACTCCTGCATTTAAAAGGCCATCAGAAAGATGTGAGGGCCTGGGGAAACACACTGCCAACATCAGGGTGTCACCTGCAGTTTGGGTGTAGGACAGGTGACAGCTCATGTTTTGGTACAAACCTGTGGTGTTCAGCCCAAGGCTAGTGTAATGACATTAGCCATCCCAGAGCAAGTCGGGCACAGCTGCTAGATCTTTACAGCTTTGCAATACCTCCATTTTTTAAACAATTAAACTATAACAAAGGTGAACCTCATTTTTCTCTAATTTAATCTCCAATCTATATATCAGCAGAGGGAGATAGGAGCTGCCAGAAGGTGAGTTAGCAGGTCCTAGGAGGGTGATAAAGTTAAAACACCCCATCCTCACTAGTGCAGACCAGATCCCAGAGCTTCTGAAGAGTGGGCAATCAAAAAAGATGGATTTTTAACTGGCCAAAGCCTTTGTACTCTGTGAGCCTGAAGTAGATCCAGCACTGCCAAAGGGATTGAAGAAATGCCTCAGCCAATCACTCCTACACAGGAATGCAAATATGCTAGCTAAGACTTTTTAAAAAAAATGGCTGCCTCATAATAGCTAATGCTGTTAGGATCATATCTGAGCACTCAAATGAGCAACTTGAAAGCCAGGAGTATTGTATATCAGTGATCGCTCCTGACTTTAACTTCAGGCTCCTGAAATCTTTGGTCACGTTTCAGAAAAATCCATTTCTTTCTTGGCTTGCAGAGCTGGGCCCTGGCACTGTCTTGGGAGACATCAGCGTGGGTTTGTACCACGGAGACCAGCCTATCATGAAGAAAACACAAGAGCTTCACTGACAAAGATACTTGACATGAGACACATGGAAGAATTAGATCTTTATACAAACCTGGGGAGCTCAAAATACTCGAGGAACTGCTATAGAAAGCAGGTACCTCACTAAGGGCAGTAATAGCAGCTCTGGGCTCTGTCTGAGGAAGAACATAGAAAGAGGCCTCCATCATTCCTTTCCCCTGTCCCTCACCCTGGCAAACCCTTATTTGCAAGACAGAAACTTAACTGTGTGTCCCCTCCTCCTAAGCTGCTGCTTCTCAGGCAAGGGGAGAGTAGTTGCCACCACCTAGATCTGGCCCAGGCTGAGGCAAACTGTGCTAAAGTGGTTTGCAGATCACTTTGGTGTGTGCACCTCAGCTTGGAGACCTGCTATTCCAGGGTCTGTGCCATGCTGAGAGTAATCAAGAATGCCTGGTTTGGAGCAGATACATCAAAAGATCAAAATCCTTGATCACAGAGCAAACTATTCTGGGCAAGGTGTCACGGGGTGGGTAACTGAAATGAAAACCTACCACATCTGCATCAGAGGTCAGAATTTGGCCTTCTGTTTCTAGGAAAGCCATGTCTAGTTTAAGTAGGTTTTCCTTCCTGGAAGCCTCCAGGAAGACTCCAAATGAGTGACCCTCGACTAGACATGGAGGTACCACCTTATAGAGGGCAGCCCACTGCTGCACTGACCCCAGGGGACCCCTCACATAGATGACTCCTTGCTTCCTTGGGAATAAACTAACTGCAAGTTCTTCACACTCTATAAAACACACCTGCTGCTCCTTCCTCATCCTTTATTAATGAGGTTTTACACATTGTGTTCAATCAAAGAAAAACCCAATAAAACTGAAAGCGCTCGTACTCAGCAGAGAGTGCCTTCTTGCCAAGAAAGTGGTGATTAAAACTGCACATTCATCCCCCGTTTGAGTCAAAGCCCAATAAAGTCAGCGGGATTCTTTCCACTGATTTAAAGGGGCTTAGGATCAGGCATTTTTACTATAAACAGATTACTAAATACTGCCAAGTTCTGTGGAACAACTTTGCTATATAAATAAATCAATGAAAGCTGCTGTTATTCATGACAGTAAGTCAGCTATCATATTTACTGTACAGGTGATCCCTAGAATTACTTCAAATAGATAATGCAATCTTCTGTTGAGCATCACAATTTGACATACATGCCATGAGATGTTAACGAAACATGCACACATGACTGCACATGAAGAGGTCTTTGCAGCCTACCTTGCTCACAGTTTTTCCCTCCGTAGCGTACCGGGCACTCGCAGATGTAGGTGTTCCACTTGTTGACACACGTGCCCCCGTTCTGGCACCAGTTGGTTTCGCAATAGTTCCTCTGTGCTGCACAGCCTGAAATTCAGGAAAACAGTTACTTTGCATGGTTTTAACAAGAAAAAGGCTCTGAATTATTGTATCTCAGTTCTTATGTAAAAAGAAGACATGATCATGATAGGTTTGGGGTTTTTTTTAAATATCCTTGAAGTCAGTGAAGCAAAATGTAGATGGCAAAAGTTTATGTGAGCTGAGCAAGTGTCAAATTCATAAAGACAAATGTATCAAAGGTCAAATACAATCACTGAGCTGTAAATCTCTGGGGACTAAGAGAAAATTTTGGGAAAATATCACTGTATGCTTGTCCTGCTTTATGCTCTTCCCTTGGCACCCACTGCTGGAGATGGGCAGAGTGACTGGTGCTGTGACTCAGCACCACTGTTGACAATTTACTGTAATCTCACCGAAACACTAACCAGGGAAAGCCAATGTGCAGTGTTACACAGTGGAATAACACTACTATATAGCATTGTTTTAAGCTATATGGAAACACGTTTCCAAATGAGGAAAAAAAAATCTATCCTAAAGAAAACACTTCATGGCCTCCTAATGTATATTTCTATAAGATAAAAACTTGTGTTTAACTAATATTAGAGACATAACTGTTAAAAAAGGTCTCCAAGACAAAACAGCAATTCAACGCGTATGTTATGACTCCCTTCTTGATCCATGATCAACGCAACATACCTAAGAACTGCAATTCAGCCCTTACACAGACCTTCAGCAGCATGTAAGGAAGGGACATGCCATTCTTGTGTGTAACAGCCAGTTTTACAATGATGAGAACATTTTGCACATCAGAATTAATCCTGATCAGGGATCCAAGGACTGGAAACCAAACCAGAACCTCCAACAGCCTGCTTCACGAAGCAGGTTTCAGATTTAGAGGACTGCAGAATTTGATTTACAGAACAAACATAATTTATGAAAAAGTCATTAAAAATGTTGTCTTTTTCATGAACTAGTCCCACCGGTTTTCAGGGCAAAGTGACACTTAAAAGGTAGTTAAAAAAAAAAAAAAAGAGGAAAAGTTCATTTAGGAGTAAATTCTTAGGTTAAACTCGGAGCAATGCAGAAGGTCTAAGCAAGCCCAGCCCTTTCCTGAGTGCTGCATAATCCTATAAGTGTGTGCTGTGCCACGGGCTATTGTGTGTGTCCCTGGCACAGGCACAGACTGCACCTTGCTCAAACAAATAAGGTCTGGATGCAACTGTGTGGGTGACGTGGTGGCAGTGCAAAGCCCAGCAGCACCCTGAGCCTCTGCCAGATGGCTTGGGGCAAATGCTTTGCACTCAGAGGTGCTAACAGGGGGACAGGGGCTGTTTCAGACCCTTCTGTTGCCTGCCCCTTCCTGGGGTTCCTCCCAGTGCTGTCCCCTTCAACATCCTAAGTCCTGTTACGCACATAGCTACAGTAGAGAGCTTTCTTGTGCTGACTTTTGAGGTGTCAGATGCTCATACCTGGCAGAGTGCCATTATTGGCGATGAAACTAGCCATGTCGATCGGCTTGCTGTCGATAGAGAGGTTCCTCATGCACCCGATAAACTGTCTGTTGTGCACCGGGAAATCTTCAGGCAAGTTTGGGACACCACCAAGGAGGAGAGGGCCAGTTAGGTCTAAAGATCTGAAGAAACAAAGAAATGCTCATAATGTCTTGCATATAGTTTGTTTTGTTTTGTTCTTTATCTTACTTATAAGCATATTTGAGCTGTTTAGTTTACCCATGTTGCCATGCACTTCCTTCTGCTACATCAGCACTTCCAGAGCTGGTAATCAAAGGACCTTCCAGAAACACCGTAACTTTTAACTGAGGACCTGTCATACATGTACAGAATCCAATGACATGTCCCTAACAGTGGCCAATATGAAGAAGAAAATTTAAATTATGGAAAACTGTGCAGCCGTATTTCTTTCTGACTCCAGTCACCCAGGGGCTGGCTTGAGCTCCTCAGCCCAAGGGTTGAGATGCTGTAGGTTATAATATAATGACTCAATTATTATACAGTGCCAACCCTTTTTAAACCCTCCGAAGATTTAGTCTTAATAACGTTTAGTGGATGCAGGTTCCACTGAATGACTCCACACTGTCTGAAAAATATATCATCTGGTCAGTTTGAATTAGTCTTAATTTTTATGGTGCCACCTTTTCTTGGGATTTTAGAGCAGCATGTGTATCTCAATGGTCTTTCTGCTATCACTCATTACTTGATAACCCTGCTACATTGCCTGCTGTCCATCTCCTCTTTAAACTCGAAAGTACTAAACTTTTTGGTCTTTCCTCACAGAAAATTTTCATACCTATTGATTTTCAATGGCCTTTTCTGTATCTGCTTTATTTCTATCTCCTTTTAAGATAGGACTTTTAACTTAAATGATGGAAGTAATAAGCTCTTCAGCCATAAAGTCTAACATTTTATTTGCCCTTCTCTCTACATTTTCATACTGAGTAGATGCTTTTTGGGGTCTATCTACACTGATCTCCAGGTCTTTTTTTTTTTTGCATTTTACAAGTCGTTTGGGCACATGTCTGTATCTACACAAATATCTATCTGTGCATTCCACCCAGTGTACTGACACTTGCAGTAGACTCCAACAAATTCCAACTACCAAACTAAACCTTGTTACTTTTTCTTGTTAAATCACACCCGTTTTTCCAACTTAATTTGCTTAGTGGTTAATCATATAGTGTTGGCTCTGCCCTGGAAGAAGAGAATGAATGGAAAACACAAATACAGAGAATCCTTACTTCTTTGAGCCGGTCTGAGTCCCCTGGGCAGCGCAGGTGTAGTTTCCAATGAGGCTCCCAAAGCGCACAGCCACTGCTGTGTCACAGTCGTCCACAGTCACCACGGCCACCTTCTCTCCAGAAGGCCCATGGGGAATTCCTAATCGTCCAATGTTGGGCTTCAAGAAATAAATGGCACATGGCATACAGTGTTACACACACGTGATTTAAATGCTGGTTCAGCCAGCTCAGCTACATACTTCTTCCTACCCTGCAAAGGGGACTAAAATAGGATATGTAAACAAAATAGCAGAAGTTAAGTTGACCTACGACATTTAGGCAAGAAAAAATCCCAATGGATGACTTCAAAGATTGTTCACACTTGCACAGTCTGATACACAGCATGGTCAGATGGCTTTGGTCTTTTCCACTGCTGAGCCACTTTGGTCCAAATCACTTCAGAGAGGCATTTTCTTACTTCTGCACAGCAATCTCTAATAAATTCTGCTAATTTTGGAACACCTCACCTCAAGTGAATGAAGTCACTTGAATTTTAAGATTGTTTCTGCCCAAAGACAGAAAACCATAGAATTATGCAATATCACAAGTGAGGCTAAAGGCTTAAATCAATTTTTCTGTGATGGGGGTGCTCTGTCAGGGCCACCAGAAACTGAGAGCAGGTTCCTATAAAGGCTATAGTGAAAGGTTCTCTGACAGCTGGGAGGGAGCTTGGAGAAGACTGCTTGTTCCAAGCTACAAGATGGAGGGCATGGAAAACCACTGCCCATTGCTGAGCTGGCTGAGAAGCCCTCAGTTTCTGGTCACAGGGGAATAGAAATCAGTGACCTGTGGAGTTGGACAATCAAAAATAATGGATGGATCTGAGCTGGCTCATGCAGCCACTTTGGTTCAGGCGCGCAGACTGACACAGTGGGTGGTGCATGGAAGATGGAAGGTAAGTGTGTTTTAGAGTTGCAATAAATGCTCTGGCTTTCCCTCATCTTTGGCTTCACCCAGTCAGTAGGAAATTTCTGCCCACCCAGTCACAACGTGTCCTGGTGAATGTGGGCCACAAAACCAGAACCATCACACTCAGCTTCACACCTCCACTGTTAGTGGCTCACTCTGCTGGCAGCTGTCATTCTCCCCATTTCAGCACCCACCAGCAACTGGGGCAATTCAGTGATCCTGACAGAAAGGAAAGCCTATGGGACCACCAGGAATCCAACCCCAACCACCAGACTTCCGTGCCTTCACCACAAATGCATCCTTCATCACTCATTTTGTAGCTGATGAGATGTACTCCAGTGTAACTGACAGGAGATGACATCTGCTATGCAGAAACTCAAGAGATGTACCTCCAGTGCAGAAGTGCATCATGGCTGTTAAAAAAGGGTGCACAGCACACCATAGGGTGTGCAGCATAGCAGCCTCAGTGAAGAACTAGCAAATTCTGTAAAAAACCGTTTTCATAGAATCACGGAATGGTTTGGGTTGGAAGGGACCTTCAAAAGTCATCTAGTCCAACCCCCCTGGAGTAAGCAGGGACATCTTCAACTAGATCAGGTTGCTCAGAGCCCCGTCCAATCTGAATGTTTCCAGGGATGGGGCTTCTACCACCTCTCTGGGCAACCTGTTCCACCCTCATTGTAAAAAAATTCTTTCTTATATCTAGTCTTTTAGTTTAAAACCATGACCCCTTGTCCTATCACTACAGGCCCCGCTAAAAAATTTGTCCTCATCTTTCTTATAGGCCCCCTTCAAGTACTGAATGGCTGCAATAAGATGTCACCAGAGCCTTCTCTTTGCCAGGCTGTTTTTCATGTTTAGTGTTCGCAGAGAGTTACACAGTCCTAATCTACCACTGGTGAAGGATCTCTGAGGACTTTATGGGTACAAGGGAAGCAATGAGCTGAACCCCCCTGGCTTTGCTGCCATTCCTCTACAGGCAAAGGGACACCCTACAGGAGTGACAGCAGGATCTGACCAGACACACAGCACAACTGAAAGCCAAGAGATTATTTTAATCATGTGTTGATCAACAATAGTTTTAACCATATGAAAATGGAAGATGGCTGGGCATCACACTGTAGTTTGCTGTATGCTTGCTTTAAAACATACATTGCTCAACTGCATACTGACATCCCTTATTTGTACAGCAAACAAGGAAGCAGTAAGGGGATAAATGCCTATTCTTCCAGTTTCGCTTGTACGCAGATTGTTAAAATACTTAAAGCCACTTTCATCATCTGTAAAGAGACACAGATTTATTTCTCGGGGTAATTATCCCAATGTATTAAAAAACATTTTAAAAAGATGTTTCCTGGTGTCAGTTCCAGTTGCAAAGTATTTTCCATTTCCTCTACCCATAACTAATGTGATCACACAGTTTGGCAGTTATACAGCATAAGGTTCTGACCTCTCCTGAGTGGTATTAAGGCAGATTTTATTTTTTCCAATACTCCCTGGACCTGGCCACTGCCTCGCTTGGAAAGACAGGAAGCATACGTATTTGCAGAGCTGAAAATGTTACTGCAACGTAATGATGGCAATGTTACTGAGCAGCTTCTCAAACTAAATGAAAAAATACATAGAAAATTAACCAACCAACAGGCAGACCTTCCCTTACAAAATTAAAATGTTTACGTTCTGGGTGCTACTTCTATTCATTTGGAGAAATGATTCGATTTAACATTTACGTTCCTGTGCTTCACTGAAATAACCCATTGTTTCTTACATGGGAGCCCTGACAAAGGCAGGGTATTTATTCTCGCAGCAGGGGGGATCTGCCCAATGTTAGTCAGGATTGCAACCTGATGAGACTCAGCAGTTTGCAGCTGCTCCTTCACAGTCAACTAGCTGCAGTGGCAAATTGATCTTCCTTTTTTCTGCTTTTATTTAACATAGAAACTGCAAAGTGTTTCTCTAGATGTTGACTGTTCATGGCAGTGCAGATGTCTGGCATCTCTTTGGCTCTGATGACCAGACAGAACCATAAGCTGATGAAAAAGAGTGGAATATTTTGGTGAATGAAGAGACCTATTGGAAGTTCAAACCATACTTAGTTCAAACATGTAGTGATTTTCTGACCATGTTAAAAGCCTCATTTGACAGAACAAGCTTTTCCCAAAACGGAAAAATATGTTTCTGGGAAAGGAAAGAGATTTTCTGAGTGATTTAATGTGGCATGGATGCTTTTTTCTCTTATATGTGGC